AGAATCATCACTGACAATGGTTCTAATTTTAACAACAACATGATGGAGGAGTTATGTGAAGAGTTCAAAATTGAACATCACAATTCATCACCATATCGACCAAAGATGAACGGTGCAGTCGAAGCTGCTAACAAGAACATATAGAAGATCGTCCAGAAGATGGTCAGAACATATAAAGATTGGCATGAAATGTTGCCTTTTGCTCTGCATGGCTACAGAATGTATGTGTGTACTTCAACAGTGGAAACTCCATTATCGCTTGTCTATGGAACGAATGTAGTGCTTCCCTTCGAAGTAGAAATTCCTTCGTTGAGGGTTCTGATGGAAACCAAGCTGGATGAGGTAGAGTGGGCTCAGACAAGATTCGACCAACTCAACCTAATTGATGAAAAGAGTCTGGCGGCCATTTGTCATGGCCAGTTGTACCAACAAAGGATGAAGAGAGCATTCGACAAAAATATCCATCCTCAGAAGTTTTATCCTGGTGATTTGGTCTTGAGAAGGGTCATCGTGCAAAGATATTCCGATCCAAGTGGCAAATGGACTCCCAATCACCAGGGACCATATATCATGAACAGAGACTTTTCAGGAGGTGCTCTAATATGACAGACATGGACAGGGAAGACGTTCCACTCCCAGTCAATTCAGACTCAGTCAAAAAATACTACGCATAAAGAGACCCGCTAAGTCGAAAACCCGAAAGGGTGATTTAGGAAAAAATGGGCATCCCGGTGGACATGAAAGTCCAGGAAAAATTTAGGGACAAAATAAAAAAATAATAGCCCGCTAAGTCGAAAACCCGAAAGGGCGACTTAGGCAAAAATGGGTATCCCATTGGATCTAAAACCCGAAAGGGTGATCCAGGAAAAAGTTAGGGATCTTAAGCGAGAGGTTGTAGTCTGAATTCTCTTCACGAATGACACATGCACATCTATAGCACCTTGGCAGCGAATTGACCAGTCCAACTGCTACTCTTTAGAGGCAAGGTATTGAGACTACTTAGGATATGGTAACTATAGCAATATTGGTTTTAATGGAAATTCGAGCATCTTTCATTGCCATTTATACTTGTTGTATCTCCTGTTTCTATTTTGCAGCTGCCTCATATAGGAGTTGCTTCCTTGTACAAATGCTTATTCGCGGGCCTATCGATAAAGTTTGTTTTCATCAAAATTTGTCTCTTACTATCATAAAATGTTTTTCGTATGTAGAATGTGTTTTATTTGTTATTAAACATTGCATTAGAAACATGGGGAATAAAAATTCAAGTCAAGATAAAACTTGACTTTACATCGATATATAACCATGAGGGAGTGTCGTATGCATTCCAAGTGTTGTTTCTCTTTACAGGTGGCAATTTATAACGGTCACCCTGGCTCGGCCAGCGCACAAAGCTGACTTCATCTACTATAGACAATTTCGAACCTGATTCCCCAAGTGAATTTAGAAAGTTCGGAGTCACCGTTTGACTCGGCACGCGCAAGTGCATCCCCAGGGGAGCTAAACTGGGGCATTCACAGAGCTAAACTGGGGCATTCATAGAGCTAAATTGGGGCACTCGCGGAGCTAAGCAGAGGTTTTACAGGTGTCCATGCCCATCTTTTATCCCTAAGTGATTCAATAAGTAATTCCCCAGTGTGGCGTAAACTTGGGGCATGTATGCGAAGAGATCCACATGGTGTTCAATGCCCATTCTTCGGCATATTCAGTTCTATCATCCTCTCAATGGTTCAGGATGTATAGAAGTCTGGCCAAATCATCTCTTCCCCAACGGTACGATTCAAAATTCAGCAGCGTACCTGAAGACTCGCTTCGTCAGCAATTCAATCTTCAGCAGGGTCATCAATAATTTGCGGTATTGTGAGCTCCCCAGTGCAAATTCTTCCCAGTATCCCCAACAATCTTTGGTACTGCGGGTTTCCAACGACAGTATGTATTGACATCCCTAGTGATGAGAAACGGTTCCCAATGAACCTTCGCTTATCTCCATGAATTCTATTTATTGGAATTGCATATAGCTATCCCTGCATAACATTGCATCCTCAAAAGCGCATAGCCGATCCATCAGAATGGATCTTTGCGGCAAAAGAAATTCAAGCATGCATACGAAGCATAAGCCAAATCAGGTACCTTGTATGAAAGACCTAAGTCATTCAAGGACCACAGTACATCCCTACAAGAGGATATCATTCCCAAAATCCCAGTTGATGACCTTCACCTTCACAATGCCCATCTAACAGTGCCAGTACCTTGTACCTTGAGTTCCCAGCAAAATCAATACACCTTGTCATTCTAAACCCAGTTCTCTTCTGGTAGCCGGTTCCCATCTTACAAATAATTCGATCTTTAAACATTCGTCATGTTGTGACCCATGTTTTCATCGTAGAACCTAAGATCGCCCGTATGCTAGGTTCTTCCTAAGATCATCTTTGAACCTGAAATTGCTTGTAGGCTAGGTTCTTCCTTAGATCATCGTCGAACCTGAGATGTCCCGAAGGCTAGGTTCTTCCTCAGATCATCCTAGAACCGGAGATCGCCTGTAGGCTAGGTTCGTCCTCATATCATCTTCGAACCTGAAATCGCCTGTAGGCTAGGTTCTTTCTTAGATCATCTTCCAACTTGAGATCGCTCGTAGGCTAGGTTCTTCCTCGAATCATCCTAGAACCTGAGATCGCCCATTGGCTAGGTTCTTCCATAGATCATCGTTGAACCTGAGATCGCCCGTAGGCTAGGTTCTTCCTCATATCATCCTAGAACCTGAGATCGCCCATTCACTAGGTTCTTCCATAGATCATCGTCGAACCTGAAATCGCGCGTAGGCTAGGTTCTTTCTTAGATTATCGTCGAACTTGAGATCGCCTGTAGGCTAGGTTCTTCCTCAAATCATCCTAGAACCGGAGATCGCATGTAGGCTAGGTTCTTCCTCAGATCATCTTCGAACCTGAAATCGCCCGTAGGCTAGGTTCTTCCTTAGATCGTCGTCGAACCTGAGATCGCCCGTAGGCTAGGTTCTTCCTCAGATTATCCTAGAACCGGAGATCGCCCATTAGCTAGGTTCTTCCTTAGATCAGCATCGAACCTGAGATCGCCCGTAGGCTAGGTTCTTCCTTAGATCATCGTTGAACCTGAGATCGCCTCTTGGCTAGGTTCTTCCTTAGATCATCGTCAAACCTGAGATTTCCCGTAGGCTAGGTTCTTCCTTACATCATCGTCGAACCTAAGACCGCCCGTAGGCTAGGTTCTTCATTAGATTAGTGTTAAACCTGAGATCGCCTCTTGGCTAGGTTCTTCCCATATATCATCTTAGAACTTGAGATCGCCCGTAGGCTAGGTTCTTCCCACAAATCTTATCTTAAAACCTGAGATCTCCTATAGGCTAGGTTCTTCGACAAATCACTCTCATATTTCACCTTAGGATCGTAGGTTATCCGTAGACCTTATCCGTTGTCTTTCCGTACCAATGTTTGTCTTGTATTGGCATCACATCATGTCGTAAGTCTAACCTCCACTCTGTATTAGCCTTTGTCTCCATGTTACAAGTCCAGTCTCCGTCTTTTCACCAGGAAACAAAAATTCTAGCTGATATCACAAAAATAAATAAGCACGCACACTTCTTTTCAGAACAAATTTTTGGTACTGATATTTAATCATCTTCTACCTCGAACTTCTGAAAGGCCCGCGCCAATCGTGCTTTCAGGTTTAAGACGATTAAATAGGGGAAGCTGTAATACCCCAAATTTTTCCTACCCTCTCATTTTTATCTGGATTACGCATCTCGCATTTTTATCGTATGCATAATTTCCATTAGATCATTTTGCACGTCATGTATCCGTAAAGTTTAGCATGGGACCAAGAATCATTGAGATTAGGGTTTCTACATTGTGTAAATTTCACATATCAAGAGAGCCTGATTCAACTGGTGTTTTCATTGAGCACGTATTAAGACCAGGGTTTTGAGTCTCCTTAACACACAAGATCATGTCTTCATCAATATTCATCAAAGGCCAATGGTTTCCAATCTCTTGTGCCCATGCATGGAAACGTTTCAACTGAGGATCATGTGGATTATGGTTTTGTTTAATGGTTGTCTTGAGTATCCCTTTCTCCATATCTCAAGTTCAATCTTCATCTGAAGAATTCTCTAATCACTTGTTTGAACGTGTATACATTAATTCCTATGTGGTCTTTGAATCAAGAAATCTACTACTATGAGGAGTCCATCAATTTAGAAAGGGTTTTTGTCAGAACCATATGTGCATTGGGACCGCATACGAGGGTCTATCTCTCATTAGTTCAGGTGTTCATTATGTCGCTTGAGATACATGGTATAATCTTTGGTTCTTGGACGAGAAATGAAGAATATGAGTTTATTTATCCACTATTCATCGAACAAGGATCGGTTTATGGTTATTACTCGTGTGGCAAGTTGTTTCTTAGGCATTCTTTAAAGAAGTTGGAGTTTTATGTCGAGTTTTTGGAATCATTTCTAAGTTGGAAGTCCTTTGTTAAAAAAAAATTGGTCAAAGTCAACCACGAGAGGTTGACTTTTTGACCAAATCCTATAATGAGTTTGCTTTTGGTTTCCATCCCATATTGGTGTTATTCATTAAAATGTTGCAAATTGAAGGAAATATTTGAAATATTCAAATTAAAATGCAAATGGGAGGGAAGACTTCTCAAGCTTGAAGTTGAAGAAGGAACCATTTCATTATATGTTTCAAGGCCAGTTTCCACTACATTATCCAAAGTACATCACAGGACTCACCCGTACATCCAGTACATTAAACATCCGTCATTCAAACCATTACAAATAACCTTGAAAAAACCACTGATACATCAGTACAATATGCCATTCAAAAAGGCTTACACATATATGCACATAACTACCAAATTCATTTATACATTACATTTCACTACAAATACAAAAAAAAAAGCTACAATGTTCTAAACCTAAAGTCTAACTTCAAGCTTCTATCTTGTGATGATTCCATCAAGTTTCTTCACTTCTTCGTCTGTTGAGACTTCCATGTCATGTACACCATGCTGAAACCAAACCTGTTGTTATAACATAAACCATACCTGCATAATCAAAGGAAAAACATCAAATACTATGAAGCTATTCACATAAATGATCATGCTTCGAGAGGCCATTCCAAGTCACGATGGATACAAGAATGAGTAAGCAGCCCGTTCAAACTCTACAGTCACTACATCAGTTCAAGCACCAGTTCAGAATGAGGAAAAAAAACCAACTTGCAACAAAAAACAATAACAAAATGTCAGTTGTTGAACCAATTTACCAACCTGCGTAATCTCCTAACAATTTTTGGCACAACTAACTATAAACGGTTCAGCCTAGCTAATAACTTCAAAACAGATCCTAACTTATAAGCGTTTCATAACTGCCATCGAATCTCACTGTTAATTATGTACCAAACTAACACAATTCAAGGGCTTAGATTGATTGATTCTATAACAAACATTCCAGACTGTATAACAGAAATTTCCACAAATGCAAAGGGGGAATTAGATATGATTATTCAAGGGAGATCACGGAAGAGATGGGAAATAGAAAGGGAGAAGGAGAGAAGTTACCAGAAAATATTCAAACCCAGAACATCTGCAGTCGGCATACTCTTGATCTCTTCATCATCTCTATTGATCTCTATCTACTACTTTAACCATCTTCACCTCCTCGCGCGTATTTATCACAACTTGCGAGCATTCACCATCACTGCGCCAACCTCCCAAACATGCCATGTTCACGCTCATTTCACTTCATGTCATTAATTCAAAAGAAAGAAGTTAATAGAGCATAATTATAAGGCAGCATACCGTTTGAATTCATTACAAGTTCATATACCAGAGCCGGACATCATCATTATGGTGAAGAAAATTGTTGCTCATGGCTCCACCGAAGATGCTGCTACAAAGGCTATGTCCTGTTAGAACATGAACAGGATCACTCGTGTGCCAGTTCAGAGTTAAGAAAAGTGAAATTCAGGTTAAAATCAGAAATAGAAAATAGAAAAGTAGGAAAATCTGAAATAGAATTCAAAGTAACGGAAAAATAAACAGTAAAACAACTTCCTCTAACTAAAGCCTAACAGAATTCCAATTTCCCAAAAAAATTTCTAACTACCTATAACAGCTTCTAACTAACAGTCTAAACAGAAAGTTAACAAATTTCTAAACAAACTCTTAACCAATTCCTTAACATCACCCAACCAATTCCAAAAAACCCTACAAACTGTCAGTTGAATTCCCTAACCTCTTTTCTAACTCCAATTAACCTATCCCTAATTTCCTTTTCTAAACCCAACCAACTTCTAACATAACCGCCAAACAAAATTCTAACTGAATTCTAGCAATTTACCAAACTAACTTCCAATAACAAACCCCCTAACAGCTTCTAACAGAATGTTAGCTCCCTAACGACCCTAACTGCTCTCTAACAACCCCTAACTGTCAATCTATAACCAAACCTAAACAGAATTTCCAACCAACTCCCTAATATCTCCTAACTCCTGTAAATTCTAACCAGAAAATAACAGACCTCCTAACAGATTCCTCTAACTAACTTCTAACCTCCTAACTGCATCACAAACTCCATAACAAACTCCCAGCCTATAACTAACATTCCCTAACAAAAATTTTCTAACGATAAGACAAACTTCTCAACAGAACTACAAAAAATGATGACAGTTAACAAACTATAAAAACTGGCTTACCCTAATTGATGCTTCACTCTCCATTTTTCTGGGAAAATCATCACAGTCTTCAACCTTTTTTCCTCCTCACCCTTTGCACTCTTCACAACCTTCACCATTCACTATTCATTATTCATGAAAATTCTCAACCTTCGTCTTCTTCTTCCATCACCCTCTCTCTCTCTCTCTCTCTCTCTCTCTCTCTCTCTCTCTCTCTCTCTCTCTCTCTCTCTCTCTCTCTCTCTCTCTCTCTCTCTCTCTCTCTCTCTCTCTCTCTCTCTCTCTCTCTCTCTCTCTCTCTCTCTCTCTCTCTCTCTCTCTCTGAGTTCCATCTTCATTTTCTCCATGCTTCAGCCTTCAAAGCCATAACCACCATTTCTCCTTTTCTCTCTGTGCCATCATCACTATCTTTACAACTTACCATAACCACCATTTCTCTCTTCCTCTCAGCGCCACCATCACATCCTTGATTCAAATCTCAGCCTTCTGCAACTCCCAAGAACGCACAATGTTCACGAATCAACCATAACAAATATCAATAACAATCGCAATCTGCACGTCATATCGACACCAACAAGGATTCAGAAAAATGGAAATAGAAGAAAGTAGAAGAATGAGGAGCATGGGGTAGAAGTAGAAGTACCTGAACTAGAGCTCAATCTTTGCCGGAAACCATCTTTACAGCCTCCGTCAACTCCGTCAAGGTTTGAGTTAATTTGAGTTCTTAGGGTTAGATTTCTCGTTTTAAAATGGTGATTTGGAACTGTCCTTGTAGAATCTGAGGAAATCCGGTTAGGATTATTAGAAAGGGCATGTGGATGGAAAGAATGGTGGAAATTCAGGACTGTTTCAACCTCCGCCACCGTCGGAGGTGATTTTCGGTACGACGAAGATCCTTTCTGGAAGCGTGGAAGCGCGTGAGTTGAGAGAACAAGAGTGAGGGATAGTTTGTTTTCAAAGTAGGTTGGTGGTCAATAATGGTTTGGATATTTTTTTTTGAATTGGGCCAATCCCCCTCTGTAGGCCCATGTTTTTTTTTACAGCCTAAAAGAATAAAAAAAAGAGAAACAGGTTTGGATCCAAGACTGTATGGGCTTAGGGCCAATTTCGATCCATAATCTATGCATTGGATTTCACACTCCCCATTCTGAATTTATCACCTGATTCTCTTAATTCCCTTTTATAATTTATTTTTTTAGTCTTTTTCTTCCATTTTTATTTATAATAAAATACATAGTAAAAAAATGATAAAAATATTATGAGACATTTTAGAAATTAATTAGGGATTTATTTCCACTTTTGCTAACTTTTAGCCAATTTTAATCATTAATTTTGTTCATTTTTATGCCATACATTTCATTTGCGATTGTTGGTATGGATTGTATGCAATACTTTGATACTTGCTGCCTAATTTCTCTTGTTTGTATAGTCTTTCATGATCCCTTAGGTAATTTTGGTTCAAATTTAATCTTCAATTTAATTGAACTAAAATTAGACATTAGGCGTCTAAGTCCAAGCATGCAAACATTAGGTAGAATTCCTTCGAAATTCCAATTTTAGGTCCATGATGCATAATAACACTAGGTTTAGAAATAGGCTAGTCTCCGTTTAACTTTTTTTCCCTTTTTGCATATGCATTTAAAACAAAAAGTTCCTTTTCTTTGAAAACTTCAAAACACTTTAAACTACTGATGAGATTCATGCCTTTTCTTTGTATGGGAAATGTTAAGCGAGTCTCTTCTAATCTTATTATTCATCATTTCAAGCCTAGGTGTGGTTCAAGTCTCAAAGACTCCTTTCATGGATAAGTGGAAAAGTGGATAATATATCTCTCTTGAGGTTAACTAGCAATTATCTGCAACAAAATACAAACTAACTCAAATCTTTTTGTGTGCCCAAGCAACTTTTCTCTAAAACCCTTTTCAGGTAAGGACATGATTAATTTACTTCTGTACCAACGAATAAGTCTCCAAAGGTTGAGTTGTGACAGAAGGCGGAGTTAACGTTGTCCATAAAAAATAAAAAGAAAATAAAACATGTGAGCCGAACTACGGTAGCTCTGATTCCTCAAAAGGGATACGTAGGCATTGGGGTAGGGCCCAAGCAAGTACAACTTTATTTTCTCTACATTCTTTTCTCCTTTCTTTTGCATGCATTCTCCCTTTAGTAATAGTAAACAATAAGCATAGATTAAACACACCCATAAGATAGACAACAAGAGTGGATACCGTAGAATACTACGGGCGTATGAGGTGCTAATACCTTCCCCTCGCGTAACAGACTCCCTTACCCGATCTCTCGGTCGCAAGATCATGACTTCTCCCTTCTCAGGTTTTCTCGATGTTTACGTTTTCCTTCATGTGGGATAAAAGACGTTTGATGGAGACTTCATTGTTTGATGATTTTCAGCCGGTTGTTTCAACCATTTCAGGGACTTGTAATCCGCGTGGCTGGAGGTTGAAGATGACCAACGTGTCATCTCTCAACCAATGATAGCGTGCCAAACATTTTTTTCAAATCTGATTCAATTAAGGATTCAATGTTTTATTCACTAAGGACTGTGATTGCACAACGCGTCTGATCCATTGGATTAGCTTACTAACGCGTTTTGACTCTCATCCATTGGTCTATTTTTTTTACTTTATTTTTTATTTCTGATTTTATATTTTATTTATTTTAAACTTCAAAAATTCATTAAAAATTTCATTTTAACTTCAACAAATCCAAAAAAAATCTTAAAAATACGTTTGATTTTTATTCTTTCTGATTATTATTTTTTCACAATTTTATTTTGTGTTTTAATATTTTTTATAATTTTTCACTTTATTTGAGTTGTTTTAAATGTTTAAAAATACTTTTGAACATTTTTAAACTTTGAAAAAATTCATCAATATCATTTCTCTTATTTTTTACCTTCTGGATTTTTTTTAGAATTTTATTCTGACTTCTAATATTTTTGATATTTTTTCCATTTATGTGAGTAATTTAATTAGTTTAAAGATAGTTTCTGACTTTAAAAAATCACCAAAAAATTTATAAAAATATTAGAGCTCATTTCTGATTTTTTTTTATGGTCTCATTAAATATTTCTTGGATGTTTTGAATATAGTTGTTATTTTACCCTTTTATTTTCATTTAAAAAACCATTTTAAAAATCTTTTTCTTTTTTTTTATACAATTTTATTTTGTATATATTCTGGTTGATCTTGGACTATGGGATTTTGATCATGAGCTTTATTAACATTATTGGATACATGATGTTGAGTTTAACTCCATAAAAAATGGATGAATGATTTTAATATAGTTTGATTAAATTTTTGGTTAAAATGTGGTTTGATTCTTACCCCATCTCTCTTCATCTTATCCCATTCTTACTTGTACTAAATCTTAATGGAGAATAATTTACATGTCATTTCTCTAAACATATGGTACATAGATTGCTATTGACCGACCTCAAAATAGGTGCGACTTCTATATAAGTCCACTTACGATTGCTTAACATAGCGCTAAGTTTTGTCCCGATTCGAGAAATGATCATTCGTGGCCCAAACCCATGTTTGTAAGCCCAAGTATGTTAATTTGAATACTTTGATCTAATAACTTTGAGATTCATTGTTAGGAGGCTTTGGTATTATCAATCCTCTAATGAATCTTCATAAGCTTTGGTCAAAGTGAATCACTTAAACATTGTTGATCATTAATGGTTGCCTTGAGAATTTTAAATAAATGATATACTTGACAAAAAGTAAATGAAACTTGTTGTTGAGAGGCTTTATTTTATCAATCTTCTAATGAGTTTCAAATGCAAGTTTCAAGATGGTCATTTATCTAACCTCTAATATCTAACAATTGACTTTATTTTGTGCCTTTAATTTATTCTCTCTACTTTAAGCACATTTATTTTAGCATTTACATTTTATGCTATTTTCAACTTTGCTCACTTGAGCATTTACTTTTGTGTCATTTTTATTTTTTCTCAGTTGAGTTGTTTCATTTCTTTTTGAAGATACTTAATAATCAACTTGAATCATAAAAAAAAACTTTAATGTTACTTGGACTACTTGGTTACTATCCTTGGCATTATGGGGTGATTGACTTCTTGGACTTAGGATTAGAGACTTTGGCCTACCTTGAGACCTTGTGACATCAACTGTTAATTTGTCTAGAGCTCTTGGGGTTTACCCCAATACATTGGGTTGTTTTTTTGCTTTGTGTGCAGGTTATTGTGATTACATGCTTTGCCTGTGATCGCAAATTCATCAGTATACAACCGTTACTCTTCCCAATTTTTGTGAAGACTTAATGCAATTGAAGCTTGATTTTCTTAATAGGTTTATTATATTTGCTTGTTTGGTTTCAAATCCAAAGGATGTGAATTCTACATTAACTCATTGTGTCAAGTGTTGGCTTCTTGTTAGTTAGACGGTTCTTTTTCCTAGATTTTACCTTATGCTTTAGGATAGTCCCTACACCTCCTCTCATCTTCTTTAATTTGAAAAATCTTCTCCCTCCTTTTGGAAACTCTTCTTGTTTTTAAACTTGAACCGCTTTCACAATAAACTTAGGCTTAGGTCCATTTCTTTTCAAGATATTTTCTTAATCAAATTTTAACCAATTTAATAATACTTTGACATTTTTGTGAGAAGACTAAAAGTCAATCAATCTCATTCAAACCATTTTGCCACTTTGGCCTTTTACCTTAAATTTTTTTCTTAAAAGATCACAGTCTTGTCTATCTTTGTAGTGATGTGTGCTACTATACTTCTATGGTATGTAGTAAAATGAGATATTTTCCACTTGGGTGTTGAGCGAGACTTTTGTTTCTTTTAAAATCCAAGCCATATCCTCCACTTTGAGAAGACGCAAATTCTCCTTTCTCATAATCCTGGGTAGTAAGTATGTTTTCCACTCAGATACGATGGTGATGTCTTATCTCTTAAAATTGACCAACACACTTGTGTTTCAAATTTTTTAAAGGTGAACTACGGGTACCCTGATCCCGTATTGCACGGAAGGTGGTACGTAGGCACTAAAGGTTCACAACC